GGGGCACGGGCGTGGTTCCGTATTTCAGGTCAGTGGGATGTGGGTGGATAAACACACATCCCACTGACTTTGGGGAGGAAACCATAAACTGAGGGATTTTACAGTCACAGGGTGGAGATTATTCCCAGAAGGGGCTGACAGTGCCCGGGGCGGAGAGGGGTATTGAGCTTGAACTAATGATTCCAGTGGGCCTGGGAAATGGATTACAGGTTGAGAGGGGAGAGGATTAGCTCAAATTTACAAAGCATTTAGACCTATAATGAGATTGTTGTTGTTGTTGTTTTGTGCCATTGAGTCGGCCTGACTCATCTCGACCTCTCCTTGGGTTTCTGAGGCAGTATCACTACTGAAATAGATTGCCCAACCTTCCTTCCAAGGAGTGGCTGGTGGGTTTGAACCGCCAGCCTTCTGGTCCTCAGTCAAATGCCTTAGGCACTGTGCCACCAGAGCTCCTATAATGAGATTAGAGAGTGAATAAGGCAGCGGTGAGATTAAACACTCACCGCCTTTGAGTCCATTCCAACCCCCAGACCCTGTGTTGACAGAGAAGAAATGGGATCTTGCAGACTTTCTTCCAAGGCACCAACATGTGGGTTTGAATCATCAACTTGTTGCCTGTTGCCTAACAGCCAAGCACAAACTATATACACCACCCAGGGACGAGAGGTGGAATCAAGGCAAAAGAAGTCCACTTATGAGCGGTACTATTTCTAACGTAGGTTTATTCCCTTTACTCTATCTCAGTATGTTTGTCTCCTTGGTTGCAACTATCCCACATCATTGTTATTTGTTTACTTGTGGGCTCTCTGGCTTCCCAGAGAAGCTAAGTGCTTAAAGTACAGGATTAACTCTGAGACTGGGGGCCCGATACTCTCTTCAAAATGCCCTGAACCCACCGCTGGGGATGACCTTGCCACCAGACCACAGACAGGCCTGTGAGGTGACGATAACACTCGTGAGGAACGTCGTCCTCAGAGCACTCTAGCGCACAAGACTGAAAGGGCAGCATCTGTCCCCAAACAAAGCTCAGAGGCAGGAAGGGACACACGGAAATGAGGAACCCAGGGAGGAAGTGGGGGGAGCCGCTACATGCAGGGGATTGCAGCCAGTGTCATGGAACAAGACGTGTGTGAACAGCTGGATGCAAAAGTAATTTGCTCTGTGAATCTTCATCCAAACAACCACAAAAATAATAATAATAAATCAAAAAACTCCAAACTCACCGCCATCAAGTTGACTCCAACACGTAGCGACCCCCATTGGGTTTCTGAGGCTGTAAATCTTCACAGAAGTAGATTGCCCCATCCTCCTTCACAGAGCAGCAGGTGGGTTCGAACTACTGACCTGCTGCCTTACCCATGATATACTACCAGACCTCCTTCAATAATAATAATAATAACAAAGAGCAGGATTAGTGGATCAAGATCATCTGGTCAGAATACCATGTCTGGGGGACATCAGGGTCAACTCATGATTCAAACCCACCAGCCACTCGTTGGAAGGAAGAATGGGCAATCTGCTTCCGTAGAGAGACCACCTCAGAAACCCAGTGAGGGAGATAGCACCTTGGAAACCCAAGGAGGGGTCGCTCTGAGTCAAACTGGCAAAAGGGTGAGTTTAGTTTGTTTTGGTTTTTAGAGTTTACTTTGTTTTGGTTTTTAGTCTGCAAAGACAATGTTCTACATCCTATTTTGGTGAGTATAATTATTATTGTGACTTGCGTGAATGTTCCCAGAGCAGATTCATTTTCCATACAGCAGTACTTTGGTGACTCGTAAACTCTTGGGAGTAGAGCACTGATGGCAAGGTTCAACGAGACAGAAATTAAGTGCTGGTGGGGATGTGGAGAGACTGGGACTCTCATACACTGCTGGTGGGACTGTGAAGTGATACAACCACTATGGAAAGCAATATGGCTACTCCTTAGAAAGCTGGAATTGGAGATACCATTTGAACCAGCAATCCCACTACTAGGTATATATCCTAGAGAGGTGAGAGCCAGGACAGGAACGGATACATGCACACTCATGTTCATCACAGCACTATTTAAAATAGCAAAAAGATGGAAACAACCTACATGCCCATCAGTGGAAGAGTAGCTGACCAAACTATGGTACATACACGTAACGGAATGCCATGTAGCACTAAAGAATAATGTAGAGTCTGCAAAACCCTGCATAATATAGATGAACTTGGAGGACATTATGCTGAGTGAAATAATTCAATCACAGAAGGACAAATATAGTATTAGGTCATTGTTGTGGAGGGTCAAGGAAATGTTTATATATGGAGGGAAACTTTCTTTGTTGATTGCCAGGGGTGGGAGGGGAGGGAACACTGAAAAAAATATGCATTAACCCATGGAAAAAAATAATAGTATATTTATTAAATTTATAATCTGCCTCATTTCTCCAAAGTTTCATGAAAACAAAAGTAAAAATATTTCAACCTGTTCTGATTCTATTTAGTACATCTCCAAAAATGGGATGTTTAGGAAAAAATATGTTGTTGTTGTTGTTATGTGCTATTAATTGGATATTCCCATTTTAAATTATAACTTCAGAAATATGTGATGTAAACAAAATGTTGTCTCAATGTATAAATAATCGCTTAACAAAAAAAATCTTGGGCGTAACCATCTAAGGTGCAACTGTGGTCTCTCCCACCTGGAGCAAAGTAGAGTGAAGAAATCAAAGATGCAGGAAACTTAGTCCAAAGGAGAATGAATGGCCCATGTGCACCCCAGCCTCCACGGCCCTGAGGCCAGAGGAACTAGATGGTGCCCGCCACCCCACTCACCACTCTGAAAAGCATCACAGTAGGAGGTCCCATAGAGAGGGGTAGAAAAACGTGGGAAATCAGAACACAGCGTTTTCTTGGCCGTGATCTTAGTGAACCAGCTCACCGGGTCTGCCTTTAAACAGACGGCCTGAAAAGTTTAGGGTCTCAAAACCCCGGGGCCGCTGGGAGCAGGGCGGCTTGTTGCACAGATCGCTGGGCGTGCCCCATGGTTTCTGATCTAGGTCTGGGGTGGGGCTTGAAAGAAAAGAGTGCCCAGGGTTTGTTTAGAGCCAAACAAACAAACAAATAAACCCAAACCCACTGCCATTAAGTCAATTCAGACTCACAGCGCCCCTAGAGGACAGTGTGGAACTGCCCCAGAGTGTTGCCAAGGCTGTCAATCCTTTTTTTATTTTTTTTTTTTAATTCTTATCGTGATTTTGGGGAAAGTTTACAGAGCAAATTCATTTTCCATACAGCAGTTCATGCACATTTTGTTTCCTGACATCGACTGTGATTTCCCACAACCTAACAGCTCCCTTCCCACTTCCTCCCTGCAGTTACGCCCTCCCTGTGTCTCTCCTGCCTAGCATTCCTGCCCCCTGAGCTGTCTCCTGGTGCAAACACTGCCCTTAAGGCTGTTTTTGCAGAAGCAGAATGCCCTAGCACATCTTTCACAGCGGATGGTGGGTTTGAACCACATGCCTTAAACGCTGTGCCACCACAGCCCTGTGGTTCAAAGGAGCGTTTCTCAAACGTTCCTCTACACACAGCTCACCCCGGGGCTTTGTTAAAATGACATCCAGACTCAGCAGGTCTGAGGTGGGTGGAGAGTCTGGACTCTAACACAGGCCCTGGTGATGTTAATGGAACTGGCTTGTAGGCTGCACTCTGAGTGGCTGTTAGTGGCCACCGGAGGGGGGTTCCAACTGGTGGCGCCCCATGTGTGTCCGAGGGGAACGGCTCCATGGTGTTTGCAAGGCCACAGCCTTTTGGAAGGAGATTTCCAGGCCTGTCCTCCAAGGTGCCTCTGGCCGGATTTGAACCGCCCACCTTGCAGCTCAGTAGTCCAGCACCTAACCGTTTGCACCACCCAGAGCCCCCCTGGGCCCGATCATTCTGCTGTGGGCAGCTGTCCTGGGCACTGCAGCGTCCCTGGCTTCTAGCTGCCAGCAGGCACCAGGCGTGCTGCCTGGTTGGGACAAGATGTCGCCAGATGTTGCTGTGTCCACTAGAGGGCAGAAGTGCCACAGGCCGCAGCAGCAGGGGCCGACTCACTGCGCGGGGTCCCCGTGGCCTGGAGGGAGGGCCAATGGCTGACCAGCCCTGAAGTGCCAAGTAGATGTTGGTTCCCGCGACGCTGCAAACGCTTTGCGCTCCGGCCGTTAAGCCACACGGTATCTGCCACAAAGCCTCAAGCGTAGAAAAGATTGTGGAGACAGCGCGGGACCAGCCGTGTTTCTCTGTTGCACATAGAGTTGCCATGAGTTGCAGCTGGCTGATGGCACCCACCACCTAACCCAAAGGCTGGCAGTTCGAACCCACCCTGGGGTACCACAAAAGACAGGCCTGGTGGCTTACTCCTGTAGAGATCACAGCCCAGGAAAAAACCTGCGACACACGGGGTCGCTTGAGTCGGAATGAACTCAGCAGCAGTGGGGTTGGTTTGGACAAACGCCTCCCTGGCTTTGGAGAGGAAACCGTATCCTGAGAGATTTTACAGTCAGAGGTGAGGGCTACCAGAGGCAGGGTTGGCAATGCCAGGGGGGCTACTGAGCTTGAACCGTTGATTGCCACGGGCCTGGGGACACGGTTTACTCCAAGGTGGAGAGCCCGTAGAGGAATGAGGGGATTGGAGCATGATCACGCAGTACCGAGGCTGAGCTCGCTGGTCTGGGGCTTGATTCCAGCTCGGGTCCGCCGACCCCGTGTGGTGCAGCAGAACTGAGTTCCAAAACGTTTTCTTGATTCTAATCGTCAGGACAGAAGAGCACCACGCCTCTGGGTGGGATCGAACCGCCAACCTTTAGCTCCTGGCTGAGGGCTTAGCCACGTGCACCCAGGGGCTCCGTGGACACGTTGTTGTTGTTAGTGGCTACCTAGTGGCTTCAAACTCATGGGGACCCCGGATGGGCAAGGAGGACAGCTCCACAGGGCTCCCAAGGCCGCGTGACTATTCAGAAGCAGATGCCCAGGCCTGTCTTCTGAGATGCCCCGGGATGGGCTCGAACCTTCAACGTTTCAGCTCCTACGTCAGCATGAAATATGAGCTACATGACAAGCGAGGACAACTCCGAGGCTCTGAAGGACCAAGATCCGATCAACAGATGGAGGTGGCAGAGGGGGTGGGAACGGGTGTGGCCACCAAGGATTATATTTAAATCCCGATCCCACTCTGGGCCGTTCTTGTCACGGGACCTGAACACAGAGACAGGTCAAGAGGAAAGAATGGCCGACTCGGGGAACCGCAGGACAGGTGAGCCGAGGGGATGGGACCTGAAGGGAAGATGTGTGAAGACCTTGAGACTGGACTCGTGAGTGAGGGACTCAGGGAAGGAGACCGTG